GAAGGCTCTGCGAGAGGTTTTTTGAAGATGAACTCGAAGTACAGTGTTGATTTGATTGAGGTTCGTCCACCTCACCACAGTCTTTTAAGTGATTTTTTGTTCTTCGTTCCCCTCCCGCAATGGTATGTGGATCTAATCTGTTCCAAACTTTTCCTCCATACTTAGTAGTGAGTTGTCAGATGCTCCCTGCAGTAGTTGAACACCTTTAATACCTCTTTCAAGAAGGATGGCATTTGTGAGAAAGTGTCTTATTTTTCTAGCTAGATAAGCATTATTTATGATATGCTATAGAAAATAAACCTTGATACTTATCTTTCTGTATAAGATGAGAATAAATAATTCCACTAAAATAGTAACATATGCTTTTTAAAATGAGTTAGTATAAAAACATAGGTCATGGATATAATCTGAAAGGTTTCTAGCCAGTAGTTGGTTTCTGTTTTTGCAGAAACCCAGTGTGGCAATGATAGATCACTTGTGTTGTTGAGAAATCATTGCACAAGAGTCTTTAATTCAAATTTGTGGGTTATTTTTCAAGTTAATTTCAGACTGTTGGAGAATAAACTATGTGTGAGATCAGGATTTTGAAATTAATGCTTCCATTTATGTGACCTTATGTGAACACTGAAGGCCTTCATTTTTCACTTTGACAAATGAGGGTAGAATAGAAATCTCTCAAGCCCTATCTGATGTTAAATATGTCAAATTCTTTGCTTCTGTGGCTAGGCATAGTGAACTAAACTAGCGAAGTGTATCAGAAAGGGGTAGAGAAACCTATTATCCAAACTGCTTTCTTTCCAATGCCCTTTTTATCCCCTTTCTTTTTGGCCAGTTTCATACTGGGGATGGAACCGGTGCTGCAGAGGCTGTGGGCAGCTTTTCAGCCCAGCACTTAACCGCTGTGCCACCAGGGGAGGCCCTACTTTTAAAGTTATTTTATGTTCCAGAAGTGATATGATCTTCACTTTAACAGCACAAATAATGTAGGAAATGGATGGTATTTGTTGTTCAACAATCAGAAAAATTCGTAATATTTTGCCTCCTCTTTGACTCTCGGGCTCTTAGCTTAGGTGCTCTCTCACACAGAATCATCAGAGGAGATGAAAGATGCAGGTGCACTTTTACAGGGAACATTATCTGGTAGCCTGTTATTTGAATAACATTTTGAAAGACTGCATTAGAGAGACAATTAATATGGGGAGAAGATAGAAAATGAGGGTGAGAGCCCAGGTTTGTTCATGTATTTGTATGATTTCATCAGTTGCCCATCTCAGAGAGTAAACTATGTCTTAAGAAGAAATAATTCAGTAAAAAGGGGAAAAAAAGCCAGAAAATAAAACCTTGACGTATTAGTAAATTCAGGAATCTAGTTTGCAATCTCTCTCCCTCTCCACCTCTCTCCATCCTATGAGAGAGAAAGAGAGATAATGACTGTCACCGCTACTGGTAACATCTCTTTAAAAATTGTGCGTACTTACTAAGAACGTCTTGCATTCATTCAAATATCTGTTTCTTCAATAAACGACAAAAAAATAAAACTTTACAGCTTCATCATGGCCTGCAGTTGAGTCTTGGCTCAAGATATAGTTGGCTTCAGGATTATATGGATGAATTGCGCATTATTTTAACACCTGGATTATAATTGTTTTTATTGTTGTTGTTGTCTTAGAGAGAGAAAAAATAGAAATTTATTAAATTTCTTTGCATTCAGGGTCTTTTAAAATCCTTATCTTGATGATTTTACTCATCATCTCAGTGGTGATAGTTATTATTTGGATGATTTGATAGTCACATGGGTTTACTCAACCTAAACCTTCCAGTGGATGAGAATCATTTTATTGGAACAACACAGCAACAGAGGAGGAAAAAAGTGGCATCATTCGAATTTCTTTAAGAAAACCCCTGGGTGTTGGACAAAGCTGTACAAAACATTGTCCATCACCTGCTTTCACGCCAAGCATAGGCACTCGCTCCTTGACTGTATTTTGCTGTTGGTGATATAGTTGTGTGTTTCCCTGAAGTAAGCCCGCCTCCATGTGTTTGTAGTGTCTGATAAACTGATTCTCCATAAATGCTTAGGGAACAGACTTTGAGTTGGAGGAACAATTCCCCTTTGGTTGTTTGGATTGTGTCACATTATGGAATTCCTTTTCCTCCTCTGCCTTTCAAAAAGGTCACTCTCATAGAGAAATTGAATGGTTCCTGCATTTGGGATTTTGCTTCAGCACAGCCAGCTTGTGCTGAAGATCTGGAGAGCATGGCTGGAGTCCCAGTGAGTGATGACCTTTGTTACAGTGAAATGAGACATGGGCTCTTTCTTATGAAATCCCCCTAGAATGTCAGTTCACTTTATGGCTATTCCACTTAGGAAAAGCTAAAAACCTTACTGTGAAACTTCAAATCCAAAAAAAACTGTTAAGATAATTAAGTGCCGTTTGAATTTTAATTCAAAATCAGTTACTTTTAAATACCCCAAAATTGATGTTGATGCTAAGTTTTTTACAAAAGAGAATAATCATGATTGATAATGTCATAGGAGTGTACTTCTTTTTACCCACTTTTTCAAATTGCAAGTCACTGCATGTTAACACACATACATACAACACATGTTTCTCAGTCCATTGCAGCTGCCTTCCCATCAGCGTGCACACAAGCATGCAGCTCCCTGTGTGGTGCTGAGGGCTCACATGACCTTGCTGGGTTCCACGGTGATTGCAGGTTTCTCCTTGACAGATATCACTTCCTAACATGTGCATTTGAGTATCTGCCTTTAGTGTTTCTTCCTCAGCCCACGGGCAGAGACTGCGGTTCACTTTCTTCATTGTTTTATGCTAAAAGCCTGGAAGAGTGTTTGCCACAATGCAAGTGCTTTAAAACAAATTGTGAAGTAAATGAGTTGTGCACTTTTAACACTGGGAATGTAAAACCAGGACAAAGGCCTATTAGTATGGCTGTTTAAAAAGACAAGTGGAACCTCACCCCAGTCCCCTGTGCTCCTCCCTCCTTCCCTCTGCAACCTGTCCTTCCTCCTCCCCTGCAGGATGTCTCTGATTAATAGTTGCATGTTTCTTTTTTATGTTTTGTACTGTTGTTATTTTTTCACACTGATGTCTTATTTTGTTCCCCTATATCCCTGCTATAAGTGAAACTATCCTATATTTTTCTTTTTCCATCTGGCTTATTTCACTGAGCATAATTGGTGAAGGAAATTCTATGGGGACTACACCTGAAAGCAGGGAACAAATGTTGTTTAAAAATGAACAATGGGGCCTCCCCGGTGGCGCAGCGGTTGAGCGCTGGGTTGCGAAGCTGCCCGCAGCCTCTGCGGCGCCGGTTCGATTCCCGGCTGCTCCCCGGCCACCGGAGGAGGGTCCCACATGGCGCGCAGACCTCTCCTGCCGCCCGCTGCTCCCCTCAGCAGTGTACTTCGGTCCTTCTGCCTGCTCTGCTCCCCGCTCTGGCTCTGGTGAATTCTCTCACCCTCCCGCGCTTCTGACTGTACCCAGTGCATGTATAAACGAAACAAACAAACAAATAAATAAATAAAAACATGCCTCTATAAAAAAAAAATGAACAATGATGTCTAAATTAAAAAAAAATATTCTCACCAAGAAAAAAGGGCAGAAGTGTTGCCAACCACCCCTCTGTAACCCACTTCCTTCTTCTAATGGAGGGCATTCTTTGAATCTGTTCTCCCTACAGTGTTTGAAATGGCTAACAAAGGACATGGTTTTAGTGGCTCCTCCTTGTGGGTGACGTCATTGCCGATCCCTGACCTGCCTCTAGAGATGGTCTGGACAGGAAGAGTGTGTTTAGGGCATCATCCATGCAGTGTTTGGAGAATGAGACCCTTAGCAGTCAGATACCCTTTGAGAAAATCTTGAACTTGAGAAATCTCAAAACCTTTTCCTTCTCAAAGAAAGAATTTATCCTTTCCAATTCTATATAATAAGAGAGATCAAATTATTATTTTCTATTGGTAAAAAAATAAAATAGTTTTAAACCTAAAATTACCAGGAATATCACTTCCTTTTTTTACAGCATTAGGTAATACTTATTTTTAGTATCTGTATCTGTTTATCTATAAATAAAATATATATCCATTATCCTTTAAGTCTGATTAGGTATCAAATTTAACTGATAAAGAAAAACCAAACAGATCAGTTACTAGCAAGGAGATTGAATCAGTAATCAAACCCCTACCAAAAAACAAAAGTCCAGCACCTGATGGCTTCAGTGGTTAATTCTTTTTTTTTTCCAGATCTATTTATTTATACAAGAACAGTGGTACAGACCAGATGCACGGAAGGATGAGAGGATTTACCAGAGACAGAGTGGGGAGCAGAACAGGCAGACAGACCAAAACACACTGCTGAGGGGAGCAGCTGGCGAGACAGGAGAGGTCTGCTTCGCCATGTGGGATTCTCCCCGGCCAGCTAGGATCGAACCTGTGCTGCTGAGGCTGCGGACATCTTAACATTGTGGCGCTCAACTGCCCATGCCACCCAGAAGGACCCAAAAGTGGTTAATTCTTCAAAATTAAAAAAAAAAATTTGATAGCAACTTCAGTTCATCCAAATATACAATTAAGAAAGTACATAGAAAACTCCCAGTATGGAAATTAAGTAATAATAATTTGAACCTTTACATAGTAATGCATATAGGAAGTACAGTACACATAACATCCCACTGATAGCATATATAATGTAGAAAATTCTTAATTCCAGGCAGAAAGGCTAATGATAAGAAGGAAAAATTAGAAAAAAATGGAAAGTTTTACCTTATACGCAATTTTTATAGTTTACATTAAAGATGACAACACTTCCTAATTGAGTAAAATTATTTTAATGTAGGACAAATTAATTTTTCTCAGGATATTTTAAAGAACAGCTTGGAATGAGATTTCCAAATCAAGGAAAACATGCCTTGTTTTCTTCAGTTTATCAACTATCCTTAATAGAGCGTTTTTACCAGACTGTTTTGGGGCAGAAAGAATTCTATCATTGGGCACTGATTTGTTAGTGGATATTCCAACAAATCTTCAAAAAATGGTTACGAATACTGAAATAAAAACTGGGCCATGAATAGCCCCCAATACCATGACAAACAACATAATTTTAAAACATGTCCTGAAGATGTATGTGTTAGCTACAGATAAAACAGACACTCCTATTATTGTTGATAGTGCACTTTGTAACACTGCGTAACCTAGCAAAAACAATGTCTCAATTGCTTTTTGATTTGATGAGGGTTTAGAACTGGAAACAAATGCATATGAAATATGTGCACAAAAATCAAATGAAAACCCTATACAAATCACAAGATTCATCATGGATACGGGATCAAGGTTGACATGCCAGTATCCCATGAAACCTGTTATTCCTACAATCACAGACCCAATAGAAAAAGTGACCCACAAGGATCACAATGGGTGGGGAGTTAACAATAAAGAAACAATGAACATAGCTACGGATGCAAAAATGACACTTCGAATAGTGTTTTCTAAGATGGCAGAATATTGATCAAAATAGATAAAAGCTGGGTTATACACCATTAGGGGAATCTCACACCTTCTGGCAAAACTTTGTAATTGGAATAGCATGTTGTTCTTACTGCGTGAAGAAGAAACACCCATAGTCTGAATGAAGGCCCAGGAAGAAGTAATCTCATGTGATGATGAAATGTTAATATCATATGTAAAAATTGGAAAAAGACTGTGGGTATCCAAATTGTGGAGCTCACATACAATGAAGCACAGAGCCATAGAGTGGAATGAAGTTGTCACATGTGCACAAGGACAAACCCTGGAAGCATTATGATAAGTGAAATAAGTCAGTCACAAAAAAAAATGTATGATTCCATTGACATGAAAACCTAAGAAAGGCAAATTCATAGAAAGAATAGAGTCAAGGTTATTCAGGACTGGAGGAGAGAAGGGCAGCAGGAGCCACTGCTCACTGGTCACAGAGTTCCTCCTTCGGTTTACAAAAGTTATTTGGAAACAGTCACGACAGTACGCAGCCGTGGGGATGTGGTCAATGCCACTGAACTATACAATTAAAATGGTTAGAATGGCACGTGATATGTTAAATATCTTACAACAAACATTTTTAAGTTTAAAAACTAATAAAAGTTTTTTTACCTGTAGCATGACACGATTGCAGATAATATGATCAGAAGGTATGCCGTGTAAAAAAAAAAGGGACCACTGTCCTAGCAGTCACCTCAAATTCAAGTTTCCTAGAGAGTGATGTAAAGTAGACCACCTGTCGTAAAAATACACGCAGGTAAATAACATTTAATTTCAATATTTGTGTATGAGGGACAAGATGTATCAAAATATTATAGCTTATTGATTGAAACATGTTACAGTTTGGTAAAAGATTAAAATATGTGAATTATTATTTTAGAATAAAGGTAATAAAAAATGTTCCCCACAAATCCATGCCAAGCTTTCTAAGATTTCTTTCAAAAATCCAATGTTTGGGCCTCCCGTGGTGGTGCAAAGGTTGAATGGTGGGCTGTGAAGCTGTCGGCAGCATCTGCAGTGCTGGTTAGATCCCAGGCCACCAGTGAGGGTCTCACCTGATGCAACAGACCTCTCCTGCCACACCCACTGCACCCCTCAGCAGTGTATTTCGTCAGTCTGCTTGTTCTGTTCCCCGCTCTGGCTCTGGCGAATTCTCTGACCCTCCCGGCATCTGACTGTGCCCAGTGCTTGTATAAATAAATATATCTTTTTTTTTTTTTTGAAAAAAGCCAATGTTTAACATTCCTGAGTATACAAATTCTCAATTTTCTCTAATACTGTGTAAACATTAATAACTGACAAAATTTTGGCTTTTTCTAAATGACGAGTAGGTTGCTCTCATTTGCTATTTAAGTACAAAGTATAATTTCAGCAAGGTCTGCTATTCAAAGCCTTTTCGCAGCAGGTGTCTCTCACCAGGCTTGGACAAAAGTATTAGCAGGTTTGCTCATCATCTGAGGTGCATGGCAGGATGCTAGAAAATACTTGAGAAATCTGAGCTAGTCGTGTTTTTCAAAAACACTAGGGAACATCAGCTTAAAGGTTTGTTTTTTCTTCCAGTGCCACCAAGCAAGTTTTTGGGGGCTCCAGAAACAGCACAGACGTGAAGTGAGAGCATTCCTACTAGAAAACCAAAAGGAACCCTGAAGATCAATGTCTGCCCTGAACACGCCCAGCCCTGGAGTGTAGAATGAATGTTTCCCACTAGAATGCGACCCAGTATCTACGCTGGCGGCTTCCCTTGGTGTCCCTTGAGGAAAGCTGGCTTAAACATCAAAGAGAGTGGAGCAGAGCTGGTTTTAAATCAAGGCCTCTACCAAGTAGCCAGGCGTGGACACATCCCTGGACAGGTCTTACCCTCCCACCATCTCCTCCCTCTAAACCCAGCCCCAGGCACCTGGATGTTCTTCAAGTCCAGGCAATTTTCAATGGAGTGAATTTGGTCCAGGAACTTGAGCAGCCACTTTGGGCTGTGTGTGCTGTCCTCGGGGTCCGCGGTCTTCAGGTAGTACTGCAGCCACATGGCCTTGGCATGCAGGAGTAAGCGGCTTGTCCCCATGCCGGGACCTAGGAGGGTTTCTCCCAAGAGTCTGGCTAAGTAGAGGGGAGCAGCGGAGGTTTTGTAAATAGGGAAGGTTATGCTTTTCAGGTCCATGTTGTTATTCTTCTGCCAGAAGAACAGGAGTGGGTTGGAGGGCATGCAGGTGCTCTGGTACCTGGCACACACCTGAGGGTAGAGGACCAGGGTTCCATCTCCCCAGGAGGCAGTCAGTGTCTGCACCGCCTCGTCCAGTTGACTAATTTCTGAGAAGATGACTTGATCCAGCAGATTGGCAGTGCTGCAGACCACCAGTATGGAGGCGAAGTTGACCTCGGTGCTGGACTGAAATGGGGAGAAGAGGTGTGACTCGTTGGTGGAGAAATGTGCCTGCACGAAGCGCCGCTCGGCTTTGCCCGGGCTGCCCAAAGGGGTGTTCTGCTCCTCCACGGTTTCTTCCATCTCCCGGGGCAGGGAAATCCCCGGTGCCCAGGACAGCTGCCAGCACCAGGGGAGCCAGCAGGGGGAGCCATGGAGGTGAGCCCACAGCCAGCCCCATCCTCCGGAAGCCCTGGGCGAGGGGCTGCTCCAGGTCATTGGAATGGCAGCGGGGCCTCCCAGGGTGTGGCTGCTTCCCCTGGGCTTCCAGGACCGGTGAATCCCCTCTCTCAGACGGCTGGTGGGGTGGGTCTAAGGAAGGCCCCAAAGCCCAGCTAACGTCGGGCTCCTGCCCCTCACTGGACACCAGGACCTGCTCTGGCTGCCCCGAGGAGGCAGGGAGCTGCTGGGGCCCAGTCACCCCCTCAGGATCTGCTCTGCTCTCAGACTATGGCCCGGGCCAGTCCTCCTGCTCTGGCCTCTATGCCCCTCTAGTGTCCCCTTGCTCGAACCCCCCTTGGGGTGCTACCTTGGAGGAATGGACACCCTTTTCCGGAAGGACTGACCAGTTGTTCAACAGGAGAAAGAGAAAGAAGTGACTGGATGTAGCGCCCAATCCCCTCCCCTCAGTGGCTTCCAGGAGGAATACCCAGGGAGGCTGTGCCAATGGTCACAGCTCCTGCGACCTTTGACCACTGTGCATGCTGCATGCAGTGGGGTGCTGCGAGGGGGGTTACTTTGCTGGAGAGCTGGGTCTTTCCAGCTGGCCTAGTGGAGGGGAAGTGGTTTCCAGGCGTCTTGTCACTCCCTTAGGATTCCCCTGCCTGAGGGGCCTTTTTTGCTACACTGTTATCAGTCCTGGGGTTCACTCCTGTGGCCTGGCGGGGGTGTTGATATATCAGAGAAGCAGAGGCTGGGACAGAAAGGGAGAAGGACACCAGAGAAGCCCAGAGTGAAGACCTGCCGGGGCTTTTCATTTCATTTATTTATATTTTTAGATTTGTTTATTTTTATTCAAGAAATAGGGTACAGGCCAGATGCGCGGGAGGGTGAGAGGATTCACCAGAGACAGAGCGGGGAGTGGAACAGGCAGATTGACTGAAATACACTGCTGAGGGGAGCAGCGGGCAAGACAGGAGACGTCTGCCGCGCCATGTGGGACCCTCGCTGGTGGCCAGGGATGGGGACAGCTCCACATTGTGGTGCTCAACCCGCTGCGCCACTGGGGAGGCCCCACTTTTCATTTTAAAAGTGAAGAGAAATCAAAATACTAATAAAATGCTAGTCATGAAAGTTGAAGTAGTTAGATTACAATCAAGAAAAGTGGATATTCAGAAGAATAAAAATTATCGTAGAGAGTGAGAGTTGACAACATAGTGACAAATAGTTTGATTAATGGGGCAATCCTTAAATGTGCGGTGATTGTAGTCTCAAAATATGTTCTTAACATTCCAGAGCAGAAGAAAATAATGAATATTACCTTGCACGTGCCTTAATTAGAGACTTGATAAATGGAGAAAACCAGTGCAATCCAAATGACTAAAATCAAAAATGAAAGATTACCATGGATCATTCTGAAATTTAAAACAATTTTAAGAAATTACTCTGAAAAATGACATGCCAACAATTGTGCACACTGGATGAAACAAATTCCTTGGAATGGCAATGGTACCAAGGCCGAATGGACAGACCTCTCTCTAGAAAGGAATGACTCAGTCAAAGAAAAGCCTCTCTGAGCATGCTTTTAACTGGGCTTTGGAAAGGCGGGTGATGTACAGTTCCAATTATAAGGAAATTTGCCTGGCATTTTGCCATGGTTGCAATCACTTTGCATTAATAGTAATTTTTTTTAATGTAAATAGAAAAAGCTTTTTCATACAGTCTCCAGATTATAAGACTACTCTATCCAAGAGTTTATGGGAATATCTTTTACAGTCTCTTAAGGGCAAAATAGATTTTGAAAGTTGGTTTTCCATAAAGTCATGGTTGAAAGGGGGAGGGTTGTGCTGGCCTGTTGCCTTCGTGTCCTGTGGACCTTTGGCTTCCCCGGGAGCAAGACCACCTCCATCCTGGCTGCATTCACTGCGTCCAGCCCCTGGTCGTCGTTGGGGTCATGGGCTCGCTCTGTGTGTGCTGACACCTCTTTCTCCCGCCTTCGGTCTCTGCAGGCCGGCCGGGGCATCGCCGGTGTGATGGCCCTTGGCCCCTGGGCTTTCTGCACTTTGCTGGCGGCCTTCGGCCCGACCCCGGGGTCTCTGCCACTGGCCTGCGCCGGTTCTCCACCCACTCCCAAAGGCCCTGGGCCCCTCCTACCTGGGCCCCCTGCCTGCCAGCCCAGGTGACCAGCGGACCCACACGAGTGCACCTGGCCGTCTGCGCAGGACCCCGCTGCCCCCAACACGAACGATAAACGCGCTTGCCCGCGGGCACACACAGAGACATGTGCACACACAAAACGCACACACACACAGGGCCAGCTTGGGGTGGGCGGCCTGCGCAGCCCAGCATCCCGGGCCTTGGAGCTGGCGGGCAGCTTGGCACCCACCCTGCCTCCACAGGCTGGCGTGGCCCGCCTCGCTCCTCGGCCTCTGACAGCCCAGGCGCCGGCAGGCGCGCGTCCCCAACCCAGCCAGGGGCCCCTCAGGGCCCGAATGGACGCTGGACGCCGCAGCTACAAGCGGCCCCCTCCTCGCCGCCCTGGGGTCCCCTGGCCCAGGGCACGGCCTGCCCCCAACCAGCGGACGCCAGCCCCCATGGCCCTGCTGGGGCCGACCCAGGCACCCAGGACCCGGGTGGGCACTGAGGGCGGGCACCCAAACACTGGCGGGCGGGTGGTGCTGGCCAGGCTCCAGGAGAGAAGGCTGGTTCTGGCTGTACCACTGGGGGGCCATGGGTTTCATTTTTTTGGTTCTGGGGATGGCAGTGGGCCCTGGATGCGCCTTTGGCTGGCCACTGAGTGGTTTGTGCTGTGTATTTCTTGGGCAAGCTTTGGGGTTGGGCGACGATTTTTGGAGTATCAGGAGTGGGTAGAGTGCTGTGGATTATGGCAGAATATAGGAAGGTGATGACAACAGCTAGGAAAACAACCCAACTGCTTCAAACACTGATGAATCTACCCATGTTGGGGTTTGCCTTTCATTGGGGTAGAAAGCAGGATGCTTGAATTTAAACGGGTAAATTAATCCTTGGAAACCTGGGCAGGGATGAAGGGGTGGGGGGCCACAAGTAGATGGTACTCAGGGCCAGCCTCCTATCCCAGCGGGCACCTCCCCAGGAATGGCCAGAATTTGATGAAACCCTATTGCAGATGGTGCAGGCCATATACGAAATAGAAGAGACTTTAGATAATATAGTGCCTGTGAGGCAGCAGGGGCTGCATGTGGGTGGTTCTCACAGCTCTGTGAGAGTTTAGGCACAAAGAGTGATCCAGAATCCAGCAACTGCAGGATTAGAGGCAAGATCTGCAACAGTGTTTGGTGATTCTTGGGTAAGAAGTTCAGAAAAACCAACCCACCGTTATGAAGACGCCAGACTCCTTCTCAGGAGAGGAGGAGAGGAAGTCTGGCCCTTTGTCCGAGTGTCATCCAGGAGTGGCAAACCAAGCTGCCACCACAGAGTTGCCAGACTCCTCTGGAGAGGAGGAGAAGGCTGGCTCCATGTTCCGGCTCGCCGGGTGGTGTCTCAGAAAGTAAAGCGAATATGGCCCATGGCCCCGGGGTTGAGGCTGCTAAAACAGCACAAATGACAGAATTTACTGCATACCGACCATACACCCAGGTGGAACTGGTGGACTTGGGCAACAATTCTGCCAGAAAGCAGGGCAACCATTGGCATTCTGGCTGCTACATTTGAGGGACATGGGGGTGGAATGGATTATTTGTATGGCACAAGAGATGGAGAGACTGGCCTCAGGGAATTACACCCATCCTTGAGACAGAGGCTGCAGAACAGCCGTTGGTATGGCCAGGGCAATCATATCCTACTGGAATGGATAATGGCTGCCATAAGAACAGTATGGGCTGATGCAGGAGATGTGCCAGAGACAGTGAGCACATGGCAGATGTATGTCGAGCTGTACATGTACTTCAGGAATTGGGGATGTGGCAGGCCCTGTTCAATGTGAACACTCGTGGTCCCAATGTGAGCATTTCACAGCAGGGTTGAGAGATTTGGTATTAACAAGTGCCCTGTTGTCCTCATTTGGATTCCCTCATGGCAGTTCTTGCACCCTATGTGGAAAGTCAAATACACAATGTCACAACAACGATAGCTAGCTTGGGTGAAGTCAAGAGCCAACACTCACAAACTCAGAAAGGGATATGCATAATTGTTGAACAATCAAGAGGAATGCCGAGGAGGGCAAGGAAGCTTCTTCGCATCACACAACCTATAAAAGTTTCCCGGAACCAAATGTGGGCATTTAGTGAGAGCAGGTGTAGATCACACTAAAATACATGCGAAGCCCAGTGCATACTTGTTAGAATTACGGAAACAGCTTCAAGAAGAGCAGAGGCTCACACTGTTGAGAAGGACTGCAGGCCTCAGGCATGAGCCCTCCACCTAGATGACCACCTGCTGCCGACCCTGTCCTTGGGCGATGGTCTGATCACTTTCGAATAGGTTGAGGGCCAAGGAACCTGTCCACAGGGGATGGGCAGGGACCTGAGGCCACATGTGGAGCTTGCCATCCTCTGGTCCCCGACTAATGTGCAAATGGTTTTAGCTCTGGTAGACACAGAAGGAGAATGTACTCTGCTCTATGGAAATCCAGAAAAAAATTCATGGGTCTGCTTACAAACATTTGATGGCTATGGAGGCCTGAGTGTCAAGGTGACAACAGTGAGACTATCCCTGGTGATTGGGCGATTACCCCTGAAGGAGTATAAAGTATATGGATCGCCCATCCCAGAGTACATCCTGGGAGTGGATGTACTACGTGGCTTATGGTTTGAGATCACAGTGGAGAGTTTCTCCTTAGAGTGTGTGTGATAAAGGCAGTGGTGTGAGGACACGCTAAGCATCCGCCCATACAGCTGCCAGTACCTAGGTGAGTGACTAATACCAAGCAATCTTGGCTGCCTGGAGGCCACAAGGAAATTATGGGCACAATATCAGAATTAGAGAAAGTGGGCATTGTGCATACTGCCCACAGCCCCTACAATTCGTCCATATCCAGGCAGTCCTGTGGGACCCCACTCTGCAACCTGTCTGTTGGCAGGGCGGCCACAGTCCTGGCTACCTTCCACGTCCTCGGTGGTCTGCACATGGACGGGGACACCCAGGGCTCTGATGACATCTCATTTAGAGCAGCTGCTGTGTAGATGACAAGCAAGCACTAGAGGTATTGCAGTGTCCCAGAGATTTCAGTCCAATTCCTTCAATGTGAATTCAATTCCCACCCATATCCACTGAGTCTTCTGAACAGCGGCTGGGCTTGTCATTTTCACAAGCATCAGTATTCTTCCCATGGAACAGAAGATTTCCATCCATTCAAATGTCCTGCCAAAAATGCAATTCCTCGAGGCCGAGGTCTCCAGTTTGTTTGGTTTTGTTTTTTAGGTCAAGTCGCATCTCAGTGAAGCAGTTGGGAGAGCAGAAAGGGGCTCTGGTGCGGCGTCGACACCCCATTTTTGTGCTGTCTTGGTCAGTGAGGGGAGACTCTTTCTACACGGCGGCAGCAAGGCACCATATCCAGCCTTTGGAAGCAACAGCTGGGCTGTGGTTTTGTCAGGGGGGGGCCTCTGAGGGAGGCACCTGTCATTCCTTGGGACAGAGGCAGCAGACACCGAGATGACACAGCGCGGACGAGGAGGGTCTGTGTGGGGTATATCAGAACAAGTGTGGGTTCCAGACACCCCACCGGTGATGAGGACAGCCCAGCACACCTGCCTCAGGATCATCCTCAAATGTGTCTCAGTGCAAGTGAACACGTCAGGGAAGCCAAAACAAAGAAATCCAAGAGGTGACAAAAAATCCACAACATACTTTCCTGGGACAAAAAAGTAAAGCAGAGACCCGTGGGCACTGCTATCTCCATGGTCACATCCATGGCTTAAATCTACCGGTAAAAGGCTCTGGGGTGGCCCAACGGATGGCAAATCAGAGTTTGCCCTTCCCTTGTTCCCAGGAAACTAGTGTGACCACCCCCCAGCCCCCAAAGCCAAGAACAGATTTAGAGTCAGAAAGCGAGAAAAAAAGTAACTTCTGAGCCACCTTCCTGCCCAACTGAGCCCATGCTTCTCTCAGCCCACCTTGTGCCAAGCTGCTGAGTTGGTGCTCCTCCCTCCCAGGCCACCCACTTGTGACTAGGCAGCCCTCGCTCTCCACAATCCTGCACCTTCCAGGGACAGTTCTCTCGGCATGCTCGTGTCTGGGCCGATGTCCTGTACTCTCAACTCCCCCTTTGGAGTAAACCTGCCCTCTTGGAGGGAGATAGATTTAGAGATAGAGACAGAGTTCTATCTCTATTTAGCATCTGTTCATTTATTTATCTTTTAAGATCTGTTTATTTTTGCATACAAGAGCTGAGGTGTAGGCCAGAGGAGCTGGGGCGTGAGAGGATTCACCAGAGACAGAGTGGGGAGCAGAACAGGTGGATCTACTGAAATTGAGGGGAGCACCTGGTGAGGCAGGAGAGGTCTGCTGCACCATGTGGGTCACTCCCAGGCAGGCAGCACAACCAAACTGGTCCTCCTGCTGCAGTGGCTGGCGATAGCTTGATGGCGCTCTCTTTAACCCCTGTGCCACCCGGGAGGCCCCTCTATCATGTATTTATAATGAAAATGGTTCCTCCTCAGGACACGGGCCACCCTACAAAAGCCACAGCAAACAGCTGTGGGCTCAGGGTGGCCCTCTGGAAGGGGACTCCTGAGACAGGGGCGAGGTCAGGGCTGAGGCGCCTGCTCTGTTGTGCGTGAGACTGGGCGTTCTGGGCAGAGAGATGGAGGGAAGAGATAAGACAAGTGCATGGGACAGCCCCCCCCCAGCATTGTCTGTTCACAGAGCTGGACGGCAGCTTCCTCCGAACAGAAAGTGCTGGAGTAAGCCCCCTCAGAGCGGCCTGTGGGACCAAGCAGAGACCAGGCACCCCCCATACACAGCGCGCTCACTGTGTCTCCAGGAGCTAGAGACTGCCTGGTCCCTTTTTGGAGCAAACTTGGGCTCTGGGGCTCCCCTGAGTGT